TGCATTATTGGCGAAATCAAGTTTCGTTTTGTAGATTTATCTGCAAGGAACTTACAAATCAATGATTGACACGAAAAATTTCAAATGTTCATATTATATTATATTATATAATTTTGAATAGTTCTTAATCAAATACATAAAGTTGACGATAACACTGAAAACATATTATTACATTAAAGTATTTGCTAAATAAATTTTTTTGTATCCAAAATAGGGAATATTATGTTTGCCACGAAGTATGTAACATCCAGAAGACCCTATAAAATATATACATATACTTGTATATAAATGATCAGCATGACCAGCTGAGTCGATTAAGCCATGTCCGTTTGTCTGTATATACGCGAACTAGTCGCTAGGTTTATGGGATATCGATCTGAAATTTTGCAAACGTCCCTTCCTTCCCAATAAACTGCACATTTGTCGGTACCGCCGATATCGGACAACTATAGATACGATACGATCAATTAATGTTTTTGTAGTGAAAACTATTTAGTTGAAGATATCTTCACGAAATTTGGTACGGATTATCGTTTAAGGCATCAGTACAATCTTCGAACAAATTTTTAGATGATATCTTCACAAAATTTTAGCATGGATTATTGTCCAAGGCAGCAGTAAAATTTCAAAATAAAAAGTTTAGATCGGACCACTACAGCGTATAGCAGCCTGCTCTGACTGCTCGATCAAAATCAAGTTGTTGTATGGAACCTTTTTTAAAATTATTATAACTTCGGTTAAAGTTTTTTTGTTTTTGTTTTAATTAATGAAGGGGACATTTAGCAATAATTACCAATTAACTCAAATCGAAAATGGCTTCAGGCATTTTTAAATATGCATTCCAAAAAACATTCTTATGTCCAAACAATTAAAATACACAAAATTCAATTGAAAGTCATTCGAAAATTCGGAAGTCATATTAGTTGCTAGTGGGCGTTGTTTATTGACATGGAAGGAAGTGAAAACGAAGCACACAATAAATTCCCATTAAACTGCCACTACTTGTGGCACGCCCACTACTTCCCTCACCAATATATAAACGAAGCTGAAGAACAATCAAGCGAAGTCGTGCAGTGGCAGAAGCAGAAGCGTGCTGAATGCAAAAGGACATACGTTTGTATGTATGCAAAACATACAGAACCAACATACACGAAATTTCAAAAAGCAAAAAGTCATCCCTGCAATATATTATATTATATGTGACACTCAGGCATTCATACATGTATGTATGTTTACATTGATTATTGAAATTCTTTCTTATGTTTGTGTTTGTAGGCACAGAAAGTCCTTGTATGTATTGGCGCCAACGGTTCAACGCTTAAACCTCATATCACATCAAATCGGTTTATTTCCTTGTAATTTCCATTTTCTTCGCATCATTTCGTCTTTCGCCCCCCGGAATTGATTTGTGGTTGTGGCAATTAGCCGTGACTAGCTTGTAATCATTATGATTTATGTGCATATTTTTGTTACGAAGTTCACACACACACACACACACTGTACATGCACACATACTTACATACATATATAAACACATATGTTTGTAACATGCGCTGGCATTTGTCTCCTGCTTCCTACTTTCCTCAAGGACCCTTCGCGCATTGCTGTTTGCCAATGTGTTGATGACATCTGGTTGCTGTCCTGCTTCTGTTCGTTCATTCGTTTTTGTTTTTTGGTTCGTATTACACGCCATCACATGAATATTTGAATGACAAATAGAATATGTTAACAGAAAATGTGTGTCCTATTACTATGCATATATGTATGTGTGTATGTTTGTAAGGTGCTTATGTGATCGGGGGCGTGCCATAGATGGTGACATCTTAATTGGTATTTATTGCTACTTGAATTCAAGTGTACTTGTTGACAGTTTTCACCTCGTACATCAAATATCAGGATATGTCAATATGAGTTATGAAATATTTTGAAAGTGTGTGTGCGTTAGTATACAAATATATATAGAGACAATTGTTGTTGTGAAGGTGATCTATCAAAATTAAGTAGCTGTTTGGCATTTCCGGATATTAACTCAGTATCAGCAAATGTGACCTGTATTATCTTGCTTTTCATAATATCTACTGTGTGCGTAAGAATACCTTTACTATTATAATTCTGGAATTCACTTTTCGAATTTATTGTTAAAGACTGGATTAGCCGGATGGAATTTTTAAGAAATTGTTTAAGCGTATTTAACGAAATTCTGTCTGCTGTTGTACTCGTTTAAGTTAGGTACCACTTTCAGTGGTAGAATCATTGGGGTTTCTTTTCAGTGTATATCTAAATTTTGGCTTTTTTATTTCTTACAGTTTCCTAAATTAATTTCATGCTGTCCCATGTACCAGATGTACCGGTATGTAGTGTGCGTTAAGACACAAATGTGTTGGTAGCAAACATTTGTTGTGAACGGAGCTTAATTTTTTTCTGTTTGGTTGACATGACATCTGTCAAACATATGCAATAACCTTACAGCCATTGAACAAACAACATCATATTTTTTCATTGTGTAGAAAATGTCAAATTTTGTACCAGAAAGTTAGTTTCCATTTGAAGAAAAGTGCTACAGAGTCGCATCAAATGCTTGTCGAGGCATATGGTGATCATGCTCTTTCAGAAGCAACATGCAAAAGATGGTTTCAACGGTTCAGATTTAATGATTTTTATATGAGAAATGAAGAACGTGGAACACCACCAAACAAGTTTGAACACGCCGAACTGCAAGCAAGTATTGGATGAAGATGAAACCTTGAGTCAAAGGCAAATCACAGCCATGTTAAATGCTGCACAATAAAAAATTTCAGACTGTTTGAAAGCTATGGGAAAGATCCGAAGGTGTGTAATTTGGGTGCCACATGAATTAAATGAAAAACAAATGGAACACCGAAACACCAATTGTGAAGTTTTACTTCAAAGACACGTAAGAAAATCAGTTTTGCATCAAACTGTCACGGGCGATGAAAAATGGATTTACTTTAAGAATCCTAAACGATTCGGAAAGAAGGCAAAGCTCTGTGTATGGTGGAATCAGAAGGGCGTGGTATATCATCAGCCTTTAAAACCTGTTATTACTAATCGCTAGAGACAACAAGTGAAAAATTTTAACAATGCATTAATCGAAAAACGATCAGAATGGGTCAGAAGACACGACAAAGTAATTTTGTTACACGACAATGAATCTGAACAAAGCAAGATCGATTCAGGATACAATCAAAGTACTTGGCTGGAAGCTTCTACCTCACCCGCCGTACTCAGATTTGGCCCTTTCCGATTACCATTTGTTTTGATTGATAAGACACGCATTGGCTGAGCAGCACTTCGATTCCTACGCAGAAGTCAAATATTGGGTGACTTTTTGCTTCAAAAGAGGAACTTTTCTATCGGCGTGGTATAAAAAGAAGCTCATTTCATATCGGTACACCTGGTATGAGCTTGAGTAAATGATTTTAAGTTAAACGCGTTTTTGTGATTTTTTGAAGAGGTATTTTATTTACACCATAAAAAATTTACATTGACCGAAATTATTGGAACTCAATAATCGGCAATTCATTTTGAAAAATTTTAGATTTTTTGAATCCCGCACCAGAGGTCCTCCGCAAAACGGTATCAAGCAGTGAAGAAGATTTTTCTGCATAAAATTATCTCAAATCCCAATTTCGGCGGATTTCCAAAAAAAGTCCTTTTTGTGATAAATTCACACTTCAGAGTGGCTTAAAAATCAAAATTATGAATGAAAATCGAATTGAGTTTATATAAAATATAAGATAAAAAAATCTTTAAAAATACGCTCATATCCCCAAAATTATTCGCGGTATCCACTTTATATGGATATAAATCTTAAATCAAACGCAATTAAAACTTACTTTGAATGTAAGAACTTTTTTGGTCATTGTGCTAAGGCTTAGTTTTAATTAGAATTCAAAAATAAAAATCTCATATGAACGTATAAGTCATCGTCAATGTTTTCAACGCAGTCACCGGTGGAGAACATACTTTTGATTAGAAACAACTAACAACTAGTAAAAAAATTTAAAATTAGTTTAAATTGCCGCTAATAGTTTGACTCAACCTTTTTTAAAAATATGCCCTTAATTGTATTCACCTATTTAAAAAAAAAAATCGTTTTGATGGGGCTTATCAAATTTGACCCGGACTGACATTAAGAACACTACATTTTCATAATAATAATAGCATGACGTTTAATGCAATTTCCCACATATGTACTTGTTATAAGCGTCGGCTGGGATGGCCTTCACTGGGTTTTGATTTTTTCGGTTTCGACTGTAGCGCCATTCGCTTGATTGTTGGAGAGTTTCGATGTCATATGCATAAACCCACGACTCGTCACAAGTGATAATGCGTTTGATAAATGTAGAACGTAGGGTTCTCAGCTACATTATCAAGCATCTCTTTTGCGACCTCTACTCGACGTTTTTTTTGCAAAAGATTCAAGTCATTTGGCCCCAGTTACGTTTCCTACTCAAATCACTCACTAAAATGTGTCGAGTCGATCTAGAGATGTTGAGGTGCTCTGCTATCACTCTGATGCCAACAAAACGATTTTCAAGCACTGTTTCTTTAATCATTTTAAGTCACTTATATTATATGCTTAATTAAAGATTTATGAATCCATCAATAAACATATGTATGTGCTGATTTTCATTTTGAAAGGATCGGCCTTCAAAAATTATTAACCTTCATTAACCTCTGACATGACTTACACTGATCTCTCCATATCTTTTCATTTTAACTTATAAAGTGATGCATAAATAAAAAGCGAACCGCTAAAACGAATTATGGGCGTAACCAAAGTTAACACGAGTAGAAACGCCCATATGATTTTTCAAGCACTAACACAATCACATAAATAGAAAATAAATTCTGTATAAACATTTGCTTCGAGCCAGCAAACCAATTAGAAAATGCGAACTAAATTTAGAAACGCCATTGAAATGAGAAGAATGCCAAGTGGGAAAATGAGAGAGCCTCTATAAGATCAACATGCTGGGGACTACACATCTGTGTGTATGTATGTGTTTGAATACATATGTAAATACTTTCGCTGTGGATCACCACCGCTCAGCGCAAAGATCAACTGCTTGCGACAAGAGCAGCATATAGGTTTGGTGTAAAAATAATAAATGCTTGTTGGGGTGGACATGGGTGTGCAGTTGCGAAGGTGTAGGGGCGCTGCGTCGCGTAGAAAAAACGTCGCCTTTTCCAACAAGAATTTGAAAATAATTTCAGTAGTCAGTCGACTTTGGCATTGTTTAGTGTTTGCACAGCAATTAAGTTAATTAACTCATTTGTGTTTTTTGCTAATTGAATTAGGACGAGAAAAAAGCAAATTAACTGCAGAAAGACCAAAATCAAATTAAAGACACTGAGGAACTTGAAGAGCAAAAAATAAACACTACAATAAATAAAAATAAATAAAAATACAAAAACGGCAATCAAGTGCGCAGAAAAGTGTTTTAAACTTACATTTATATATATATATATACAAAAAAATGTATAAACCTATTGGGAGCCTTGCTGTGAAAAGTAAAATCACAAAAGTGGGAAATCAAAAGTGATTGTGCAAGCAATTACGACACTTCAACAGAAAGTAGTGAGCAACTGATTGCGCAAACCAAAAAAATCGCTGTTAAATTACGCAATTTCGTTAATGCCTGTAAGTGTTGACCAAAGTGGAGCGAAAATAAAATAATACTCAAAAAAAAAAACAACAACAAAAATTGAAAATAATATAAAAAGTACGTCAAATGCAAAATAAAATACTCAAAATTAATAGTGACAGCTAGTCAGCGTGGCGCACTGTGACGCCAGCAAAGTGTTAGCATTCCCGCACCAGCGCTCTCCGCGAGCTAGTTCACACCATGGCGTTGTGCTGTCGCCGCCAATAGAGATCGACAAATGTCCGTGCGACAATTTCGTTAATTAATTGACTTGTAATTGAATTAATGTACAAATAAACACACGTACGCCAATACACTTGCATACATAGCTGCACAACGCTCCTGCGCATACTTCTGCTTGTTTATATGACGCTGCAAGTTTGTAGTAGTCCAGTCAGCAAAATTCGACACTGATTTGCGCTAATTTAATGAGTTTCACTTGTTAACCGCCGCACGCGTCTCCGCATACAACAGCTGCACCTTCTACTCCTTTATCTACTTGCGTTACGCTTGTGTGTGCGTGTGTATGGCAATCATGCTTAACTATCACGAACCACAGCATCTACAACAACCACAGACGATGTCACAATTGAGTGGCTCAATTGCTAACGCCGACAATTTCTATTACCCACAAACGGTGAACGTGCCAGCGCTGACATTACATAACGCTAATAATGGTGGCGGTCCTGCTGTGACAGCTGCGTCGGCATTGTTGGCGTCGTCGTCGTCGATGGCGTCGACGTCAGCATCGTCGTTGGATCATCTGCACAGTCTAACGCAGCATAATGCATTTGCGGCACATAATTGCAATAATAGCAGCAACAACACCAGCAACAACAACAGCACCAACAACTGCAATGCCAATACCATTAATATGAGCTCCGCCGCCGGTGATGGCACAGCTTATCGACAACAACAACAACACAGCCATCACCACACACAACAGCCGCTAACGGATCGAATTGCCGTTAGCGGCAATGGTAATACAGTTGGCTGCCGCAATTCCTGCTCACCCGATGAACTTACAAAAATCGAAGATAACTATCCCTTGCACGTTGTTGGCAGTAAACATTCGGAGAATGTGAAACGTTTCTCCGTGAACAATTTGTTGGAATTGGCTAATGATTGCCGCATTTCAGGTAAATTGCACCATCAGCATCAACAGCAGCAGCAGCAGCAACAGGAGAATTTGGATGCTACGCAAATAAATGATTTAGGTGGGTTTATCTTCATACATACTTATGCATGCATTTACGTTTGTATGTATGTATGTGTGCCTAAGCTTACGAAAAATGTCTATAAATAGCTCTAATTCCTTTGGAAATTTTATCAAAATCTGGGTTTGCCGACGGCTGTTATAAGTTTGTATATAGATTTGCAATCGAAAATACAAGGATAAATTAGTCTGACTTTAGTAGTTTGCTTCCTTTCGTTTTACAGTAAAATGACTGTTTGAAAGTGTAAGTAAGTGGGTTTTGATGAGTTATTAAAAGCTTAATTTTCAATTTTTAGTTTACTGTTACTGAGTCATCGGCTCCAATAACGGGAAAAATATAGAAAATGCTTAGATAAATATCCATATAAAATCTCTCATATATTTATGTCCCGAAAAGGTTGTTATATTCAATTGCTAGCCACTAAAAAATTATTTAGAGTTAGAAAAATTAATAAAATAAATTTCTGACCACTGTTATTGTTTGAAAATATATCTACTATTGAAAATATATTTCTAAAAAGATAAGTGAACTGCGTGCATGTAGTAATGTTTATCTGTCCGAATGTTTGACCAAAATACTGACCATTATCTATAGTTCTATTGTCGGAGACGACCAAATAGATATATTATAACTATCCTTTATGTATGGACGAAATACATATTTCACTTTTAGATTAGCGATTTCTTTTATGTTTTTGGAAGAGCATCAATGGGGACCGTCCAAAAATTATTTAACGAGCATTTCAGTTTTTGATCAGTCACACTCAGGTATCACAATAAGGCTACTATGAAATTAGCGTGATAGAATCCCACTGTATTGTATTGACAGACCATCGATTGGTGATGTGCGAGCGATATATGAAACAGTAGGCAAAAGACCGCGTGTGTCATATCCTGCAGAAAATATTGGGTATAAGATAGTTGTCGGCGCGAATGGTGCCGCTCACTACAGACAAAACCGCAATCTTGAGACTACTTCGAAGTAGATTTAGACGATGTTTAAGGACAGTCGAAGAAGCATGGCTGGATGGTGCATATCAGAAACCAAGGAAAAGTCGAAACAGTTCAATTCATCCTGCTCGAAACAAGGTGAGGCCTAACTTATAGCCCATAAAGGTCATGTTCACCGTTTTCTATGATTTGATATGGTGTGATCTACACTGACTACTTGCAGAAAGGCAAAAAGGTTTCTGAGCTATATTATGTCGAATTATTTGAACACAATGCACACAATGAATAAATATAAATAAATAAAATAGCCGCATTTGGCGAAGCAAAAAGCCCTCTTCCACCATTACAACGCACAGGGCTAAACTGCTATCACTAGGCTATGAACTGATGCTCCATTTACCGCAATCTTCAGAAAATTGAACAAATCGGGCAGCAATTTGAGGAGGATTCGCCACCAAGGAGGCTTACTTTAAAGAAAATTACAATGACAATATAAATTGTATGCTTAATACATTCGTAGAATTGACGATTCAAATTGGATTTCCTTGACCACCTCGCCGATACCCGGAGGACCTCCGAAAAAGAATATATGGCGGTGAAGAAGATTTTTCTGTTCAAAATTATCTCAAACTGAAAATTCAAAAACTAAAACATATTATTACATTAGATGAATACATGTCATGATCCAAGGACTAGTCCAGATTTAAATTTTTGATAAAATAGAGGCTTCCCATATATGTTTTTAAAAATTTTTTTTTTTAAATTTACAATTCAGTAATTGTAATTAATTTTTATCAAACATCTCAATTTCAAGGCGATCGATTAGGCCGTTTCTGAGGAATTTTCCCCACCAACTCTGAAAACAGCGTGTCGAGAAAAGCGTGTTTAAAGTTTGGGAATTGATTACTCTGAGTTAAAAGTTCTTACAAATACACTTCACAAAAAGAAAAACGATTTTTTGATATTCCCAAGTGGATACAACCCTTTAAGAGGGGGCCTCGTTTTCCATATAGAACATAGCACCATAGCCGAAGACTAAAAATTTTTTCGATTTTTTTGAAACAGAAAATCGGTTACTTTCCATGCAGAGATATTGGAAACCTTATCAGTTACTTCAAAGCAACAATCAATTACGCTTTTAAAATGAAATTTAAAATACATAGCACTGCTGGTGTGATAATTGTAGTTCTGTATATATAATATACTGTACTTAGTTCTGCCAAAATTTCTGTTACAAGTTCAAAAAATTATAAAAAAGAAACTTTAATACATACCATTAATAATGCATTTATTAAAATGAGCGATGTACAAAATTTTATTTGAAATGGCTATATATTGTTTTCACACTAGTCCACAAACGATTCGGCCATTGACCAATAGCAGCACGCACAGTTACTATTGTTGTTAACACGCTACCAAATTTATGTGGGGTTTTCGATAGGCCATGTTCTGCAACTCTCATAACAAACTGTATAATAATGGATTCAAATCTGCACTTCTAGACGGCCAATTATCTGCAGCTATAAAACCGGGAATATTGCTTTTATAGTATATATGTAAATATATAAAATAACGGCACTATTTCTGCGAATTTGTGCTCGCTGTATATATTGTAAATATTGTAACAGAATTTATTTTTACTAAGTATAAAAAATAGGGAAGGGGGTGTTCGGGTGTAACCGAATACTTTATACTATTGCAACTTGCAAGGAGCAAAGCTGGCTAAATACTTTCAGGTGTTGGAATATCAAAAAATTTAGCGAAAGTGTTCAACTTTATTGACGGATAAGGTACAAAGGTGTACATATTATAATAAAAACACACTCTCTGAATTTCATTAAAATATCAAGCACATTGGCCGATATATGTGGTATAAAATCGTTCGAAAATCTTTACTTGTATGTTAGGCATAAAGGGGCTAAGGGAAGTATTGATCGTATTCAACCTATTTTTGACACAAAGGTATGTTCTTATTAAAGAATAATTTTTACCGAATTTCATAAATATATCTCACAGATTGTCCGATATTTTTGGCTTAAAGTCCGCTATACGCACAGTGGTCCACATATCTGGCCTCTGGGTTCTTCGAAAGTTATAGTCCGATTTCGACAATTTTTAAGATGAAATAGCTTGATTGCACTATTTGTGGATCGGATTTCAATTCATCGCGTCATCCGGATAATTTATTAATATGTGACCCTATATCTAAATGGATTATTTTTAGGTGGTACAAACAACCGTTAGGTATACAAAACTATTATGCTCTGTAGCAATATGTTATAAGAATATCAAAATGTATTTCATATAGAATATAGATCAATAGCAAATCACTTACTTTCCACATTAACATATCCATCAGTAAAGCTATGGAACCGAAATTTAGAACAAAATGCACTATTGCTGTGATAAGTGCAGTTGCACGTATATAACCGACAATAATGCCTAGCTAATTAAAGTACATATGTGACCTTTAATACCTATACCAATAGTTCTATTGGTTCATAATTTTTCGCAAGTATCTTAACTTTCTCCTAACACTAATACTCTTACAATTTACGAATATATTTTATGTCGAGTTCTGCTTTGTTTTGATTTCAAAATTTTATTTAATTTTTTAAATTCATACATGCAATCAAATTTATGTGAGAAAACAAGATAAAAAGTATAATTTTCTAGCTCAAGTTCAAAATTTGATTTGAGTTCGATGAAACGGTTTCATTATCAGTATCTGTATTAGTAAAAGTTGCGCGAATTTATTGAGAAGCAGAACAATTTGTCGACTGCATCACTGCATATATGTACTATATGTATATAGAATAGTGTTTACGCACACTATTAAGTGCATTTCCACTCCACTCGATGACAGTGTGGAGTGTGGAGCAGTGGAAGACAGTCATTTAAACCGTACGAAAAACTAAAAATTCCAACATTCTCACAGATGACATAATGTTAATTCGTGTTGACAGTGCCGGCTGCTGCTGACAGCCAGGAAGGCAACCGACAGCCAACAACAAGCGCAACCGCAAGCGAAACTACACAAACACATACATACGCATATCGAGAGGAAATTCAACTCAAAGTTTGAAAAAACGTTCACTTTGTGTTGAAACTTACTCCATATACCATACATATACAAGTATGTATGTATGTATGTATGTATGTATCTATACATTTAGTTATACAAGGTTATTTTGTTTGTACAAACTTTTTGGCCGTGAGTGCGATCTTTGCATTTGACTTTCTTAACTTTTGCGAAAATAGCATTCCTTTATTATAACTGTAAACTTTTGTTATTAATATTTTAATTTTTTAGCGTATTTGTGGTTGTTGTAATTTTGGTACCTCCCAACGTGCTTGCATTCAATACACTACGATTGCATCCTCATCCTTTTTTGTTGCTCTTTTATAGCGCAACCTTAATATACCCAAGTGACTTGTTGCTGCTAGTGAATGCAGCAAACAATGCATTGCAACAACAACTGCAACACACTTATTTTCGCTCGATATATGTGTATGTACTCGTATATGTGCTCTTTGCTGCTGTCACGGCATTTTCAACGTCCAAGTTAATTTAGTTTGAGTCGCATGCCGCATGTGCAACGATGCAACACAAGGTGTATCCTTTTCAAACGTTGCCACATTCATGTAGCCGCCTGTCGGTTGTATTCACTATGGTTTCTAGTATGTTTTGGTGTGCTTTGTACTCTATTTGCTGCTTCTCCCCACTTGAAATTTCACTTTTTATACGCTTATGTTTCATTGCACATTTGCTTGCAGCAGTTTCATGGTTGTGGAACGCTGCTCGTTTTTCGATCACTGTATTTATTTGTTCAATTGTTTTTTTTTTTATGGAAGTTCCACATAAAGGGTAGCAATTTCTGTGGCGCACTCGTTTTTTATGTGATCCCACATTATTTTGACAGACAATAATCCCTCAGAGGCCATATTGCTTGTTGTGGTTTTTTATGGCATACACAGCCAATATAAAGATAAAACAACAACAAGAGCGCACGTTCGTTATAGCTACTTATGGTATATATATCGTTGCGA